GGGGCTCTGAGCAACCTGGTCTGGTTGAAGATGTCCTTGCTCACTGCAGGAGGGTTGGACTAGATGACCTTGAAAGGTCCCTTCTCACCCAAACCAGTCTGTGATTCTGTGAAAACCCACATGTGGCATCATGGCCCTGCTGACACAGCTGGCTCTAGGAACACGTATTTCCAGCAGCCTGAAGCCATCATCCCCCCTCCGAGCCCCCTGGGACCAGCAGGACACAGGCTGTTCCCCCGAAGGCAAAGCCACCGTCCGGTTCCGCCACGACAGGGGAGGGCAGAACCACTCGACTTCGCTGAGGTAGATGAGGAACGAGCACTCGGTGCCGTCCACGCCAAAGAACGCATAGCAGGGGTCGGAGGTCCACCTGGCCCTCATCCACTGTGGGGAGCAAAGAAACACGTGGGGCTCATTCTCCAGCCAGGAGGGGATGTGGCAGCCCTACGAGCTGCCTCACGAGCTGCCTCTGCTATGGGCAACCTCTGTTCTCCATCACCCTTCTCTAGCTGGGAGCTATAACAAAGGGCTGGGGGTGGATAAAGGTGTGCGAAGCAGGGTGCACCCAGCACCAGTGCCAGTGTTTGCCCACCCAGTGCCTCCAGGGCACACGGGGCAGAGGAAGAGCCACAAGGTTTACTGGAGGCTCCCTGGGTTTCTATCACGGTCCCAGCACCAACACATGCCCTCCCTGGGGGCACAGCCATTAATCCCTGGGAAATGATATGCTACAGGGTTCTCTTCTCATTTGCTGTGCTGGGGAACGAGCTGAGCTGCTGATCTTGTGGCCCCTGGCACAGCAGGGCAAGGAGACAGATCCACCAGCAGTTCCTGAGGATGAATTCCCATGAAGGAGAATAACCAGTGACTGGAGCACCAATTTATCATCCCTCACAACAGCTCTTGCCAGCCTCTTCCTAATTCAACTACAAAAACAAATCTACTGGGGAGACAGGTCACCATGTCCGATATGTAAAACACAGCAATCACCTGGACAGGAGATCAAATTATAGCCTTCCACAATTAAATTACATTCCAAATTTACTCAAATGGTGGAAGGAAAGGATGCCGAGCACCAGGGGAAGAGGAACATACAACCCCCTGCTATAATTTTTAGAAACCCTTCAACATCTTTTCAGGGAGGTTTGGCCCTGCAGAAGCCTGAGCTTGAAGCAGAAGGCTGGGAAGGGGAGGGAAGAGGGAGATGTTTTTAATTAGTTCATGTAAATATGCTCTCTGACAAAGCAATCATGCTCCAGGCCAATTGCCAGGCTGCACTGAGGTGTAAAGAGCAGGCTGGGTCAGGCAGGACATCCTGTTTGAGATGGAGGTCCTGGCTACCTTTACAAGATGCTCTTCTGTGCGATGCTGAGATTATTCCCCAGACACGAGCTGATGCTCCAGATATTTAAAGACGATGCGACAGTGCTTTCTCCTCACCGCGCTTCTGCCCTCAAACACAGAAGCTGCAGGCAGGGAGGGCTGTGGGCAGAGGTGGGTGCAGGGGGCTGATCCTGCTGCTGCCTGCACACCTCTGGGCACCGCGGCTTCAGTGCTGCGTTCGACTAAAACTGAAGGTTTGTGCCTTATTACTGGGGGGAAACGGTCACAATCATACAGCAAAGGCTCCCAGAGGAGGTTGGACACCTCCCTGGTGTTTTCTCCTCACAGTACAGCCGTGCTTGGCTCTCCACATCTTTGGCTCTGCTCCTGCTTCTGCAACAGGCTGCACCTTTCATGTTTTAAAGCAAACAGGATTATTCTGGAGAGCATCCCCCTCCCCACTGCCCTTCCCAGCTCAGCCCCCAGGGTCTCTGCTTTGTGCCCTTCCCAGCAGCTTCCACCCCAGGTCAAGATCCTCTCCCAGACAGGGAACCCCGACTCACCTCCACTTTGCCAGCGCAGTCAGGGTACTTGGGGTCCCTGGGCACCTCGCACTGGTCCCTCCTGCCTTCCACCACTGCAGAGAGACAATTTGGGCATGGGGAGAGCTGACACATGCTGGCAGAGCAGCTAGAAATGCTGGGAGTGGATGGGATGGGGTTTCCAGACCCTGAGCACATTCATCGGCACCACGACTGGGCCAGCCAACAGCCCCATCCCGCTTGATGGAGCAGGACACCAAGATGTGAAGCATCTTCCCCAAGGTCAGGGAGGAAACAGAGGAAACCCCCCAGCCCTGCTTCAATGCCAAGAATGTGTTCCCCTTTCCTAAATCTCAGCAGGTCTCTTTGTAGCACCTCCCTGCTGCCCTCAGCCTTGTCCAGACCCCAGGTCCCACCTATCCAAGCTCCTGTTAATCAGCCATAAGCACGCTGCAGGATCTAGGTAGCACTTGACACAGCCTTTACGCTGCAAACTCGCAACAAAAATAGTCCTGCTGGGCTGTTGAGAGAAGACTCAGCCCCTGGGATCAGCCCCAGGATAAGGCACAAAGGTGGCTAAAAAGGTAACAGGATCTTTTCTTCCTCTGTGTTTGGATTAATAAAAGACATCACCCCTCCCACAAGCCCTCCTTTGCCTATACCTGAAAGAGTAAGAGGTGGAAGAGGCAACAGAAGCATCTTCTAATTGATGATGCCAGCCCAAACCCCAGGAACATGCAGCCATGTGGAGAAACATCTGGAGAGCCCAGCTGCCCTCCCACCACTGCCAACTTGGGATGGCAATGTCCCTCCTGGCACTGGATCCCAGCCCCTGGGCTTTGGATCCAAACTGCCACATTTTCCTATCCAGGTGTTTGTGCTGGCACTGCTCCTCATCTTTAATTCTACATTTAATTCTGTGGCATTTATTTCTGACAGCAATTCAGACATGTCACCATTTGTCCCCCTTGCAGGCATGAGTTTCCCAGGTCTTGCTCCTCTGCAGACTGATCTCCCCAACTCTCAAGTCCTCCTGGGCCAAGTGAGGCAACGCTTTTAGGAGAACATTAATGCTGTCAGAGGCCACAGAGGGTGGTTCCCTAGGTAGCCTCCTGCACAGACACTGAGGTGCTGGAGCGTGTCCAGAGATGTGCAACAGAGCTGGGGAAGGGTCTGGAGCACAAGTGTGATGAGTTCATGGCTGAGAGAACTGGGGGTGTTGAGGCTGAGGGGAGACCTTCTGGCTCTGTCCAAGTCCCTGCAAGGAGGGTGGAGAGAGGTGGGGGTGGGTCTGTTCAACCAAGGACCAAGGGACAGGACAAGAGGAAATGGGCTCCAGTTGTGGCCAGGGCAGTTGAGATGGGATGTGAGGAAGAATTTCTTTGCTGAAAGGGTTCTGAGGCATTGGAAGGGGTTGCCCAGGGCAGTGGTGGAGTCCCCATCCCTGGAGGGATTGAAGAGTCGTGTAGACATAGTGCTGAGGGACTTGTCAGTGTGAGGTTAATGATTTGACCTGATGATCTTAAAGGGCTTTTCCAACCAAAACAATTCTCTGATTCTATAATTCTCCTTTTCCTGGCCATAATAGTAAGGTGAGAGCCCTGGAAACCCCTGAGAAGGCTCAGACTACACTCAGGATTTCCTCTCCCTCAGAGAAATGGTCTGACCCTGTGCTGCATCCACATAGAGTTGGACACAAACAGCCCTAGGAGGTTTGGCAAAGAGCTTCAGGTGCCCCACTTGGCCCTGCAGACAGGACTGAGTTGGGTAATCCCAGATCAGTATCCATTCCTCTGCATTTTTACCAAACTTTTCATGCTAGGCTTGGCTGGATCTCCCCACTGCAACTGCATAAGACATAGAAGGAACCTCCAGGGAAGGGATGGACACTCACCTTTCCCATTCAGGATGCTGTTCCGGAGAATCTGATCTACTTTTATTGCGATGTCTGAGACGTTTTGAGCTATAGCTTGGATCCTCTCCATCAACCCAGCTGCTGGCTGGAACCTGGGAAAAAAAACAAACAAACCCTGACAACTTGATATCCCCTCAGTGGTGGCACCCAGGGGTGCTTATAGCAAACTCAGCATCCTTGGAAGCTGCCAACAGGTTGAACTTAGCTCCAGGATGCAACATGGGAACACTTGGTCCAGTGTGCACCAGGCAAAGAACTCAATGCTTTCCAAGAGGTTTGATTAAAGACCTGTGTAAATCAGTATTTTGCCATTTTTTTGCAGTGTGCTGATAAACACAGCTACACCTGCACATTTTACATGGGGAAATATTAAATAGGCTGGAAAATACTGCTTTTCTTAACTCAGATGTGCTATGTTTGAAAATCCCCTGCTGTGATTATTGGCCTTGCAGTGCATGTAGGAAGCTGTGTTGGGGAAAAAAAAAAAAAAAGGGAGAAAAACATTAAAAATACAGAGAAAGGAAGGAAAAACCAGAGGAGGGCTGAGGAAGCTTGTGGACCTGGAGCAGACTGCAGACAGATGCAAAACACACAGGACACGTGGATGCCCTGAGTCAGCTCATCCACCAAAGATGTAGGTGAGTGGATTTCCAGGTTCCCCAGTGAGGGCTGTGTGGGGACAGGATGCCGGGGTCGAGTTGGGTATCACAGCCCCAGCAAAGCCCACAGGCACCTTCTCACCAAGGCTTGAGATCAGATTCCACCAGTTTGAACAGCTGCCTACGCCGTTTATCGAATGTAACCTCGCAATCAATACAGCCCTGGGTAAACAGCACCGTTACACTCATCTACACAACACACTGCGCAGAGGGAGCGACAGAGCCCTGTAAAGAGGTCGGTGTCAATTAAAACCTGTGTAATATATGAAAGGGGAAGAGAACTCAATCCATCAGCAGCAGTGCTCTGCCAGGCTTGACGAGGAGCAAGCTCTCCACCTCCAACACCTTGCCTGCCATTTCCACCGCAAACAACCACCACGTCTCGACGAGCGCAGTTATCACAGTCAATAATTTCTCCTTCTGCAGCATCTGGGTCATAAGTTTTTCCTCCTGTTGCTGCCGAGATCATTATAATACAAGGAAATGTCATAAGTAGTGAGCAAAACCAAAAGAGCTGCCTTGAATACTCTTGGCACAAAAAACACGTGCTGATGTCAGGTCCTTCCCGGCCAAGTTTTATGTTTGTTCTCCAGCAGATCAGTGAACCCAAAGGTTGGGATTTAAAGTACCTGTGTCCTCAAGGCTGAAAAAAAAATCCTAGCTTTATGAACCAATACTGCTTCGGTTGTTGACTTTAAGTCCATTCAATAGCAGTGAGTAGCCCACATTTTTCCTTCTGGCATGGGTTTATGACCATCAATATTCAGCCTGCGTACCTCCACAGGGAGCCACATATCTTAGGCTTTTAAGAAATAATAATTAAATGCAGAGGACACCATTGCCCCCAAGTAACTTTCAACCTTTGCAGAGAATAAACCCCAGGGATCCTGCCAGCTACCGTAACCACCGCAGCAGGGGGGTTGCTCATGAGGCCCTGGCAAATATGGGCACAAAAATGACCTGTAATGAGCTCAGCTTGTCAGCACAGCTCCAAGGAGATGAAATGCTCCTGGTCTGAGGGCTGCACAGCTCAGCCAGCCCTGAAAGCTCACAAACCCCCCAGTTCTGCAAACCTTTTTCCATCAGCAAGCAGCCATCAGACCACGCAGGTGACACACAAACGCTCAGTAAAAAGGGAACAGCTGGGATGGGCAGTTTAGGAGCAAACCTCACATGGATGCAGTGAATTTAGAGCCAGAGAGCTCAGCCTCCTGCTCCAACAAGACAGGAACGTTGGCTTGGTGGAGATGCTCCTCAGGTTTCTCCATCACCCATAGCAAGGAGAGAGGACAAGCACAGCTGCAGTTGCCCTGCTCTCACACTTCTCAGCACCTAGATTAGCCCACCCTCCAACTTTTGCCTCCTCCCAGAAGCTACCCCAGTTCTCACTTGGGTCTGAACCCGCTACCAAACACCCAAGTAACTCGGCAAATCTCAAAAGTCAACAGCAACCTCAGTCCCCATCTCCTCTCTGATGACCTCCAGACCTCAGCTCAGCCAGGGCTGAGCACTGGGCACCCACAAACATGTTCTAACAAAAATTAGGATTGTTATCCTAAATAAAAGGCTTCCAGCCTCACAGCCAGCTCAAGTCCTGCTGGAGCTCAAGCCACTGCGGCAGTTTCCACCAAGTGATGGCACCTATGCCAGCTTGCTCAGCTCTTGTAAGCTACAGCTGCTCCTCAAACACAAAGATTTCAACTCAGAGCCCTCTGATGTGAAATGTGTGTCTGATCATCACACTCAGACAGCACTTCCAGTGCTCACAAACAAGACAGCCGCGTCGCACGGGCTCCACGAGGCTTCCCCTGAAACACAGAGAGTCACTGCAAAGTGACACAAAAAGCGTCCACCGTGGTTCTTGGCATATATTAAGATGGAAAAATGGTAGAAAATGTCCTTCCAAAATAAGGAACCAGGCTCAAATCTCCCACCACTTGCATGCTAATCACCCTTACTTGTCAAATGAGTTTTCTCCAAATCCCTGTGACTTTGAGCGAGAGATTTCATGCTCGGGGTGAAGAGCCATGCTCCATGGCAGGGGCACCGATGGGCCCCGGTGTTGGCACTAAGGTGGGCAGTGCTGAGTCAGCCCCCCCGGTGTGTTTATCTGCTGGGCAACAAGGCTATCTATCACCTGAGCAGCAAATTTCATTTACCCTATTAAAGAGATGACAAGAAGGTGAAGCGTAAGTGACAGCACCTGTCATTATAGTGATTTGTCACCCGGGCAGAGGACAAGAAAATAAGACATTTAAAAACAAAACCTCAAATGCAAAAAGGTTTTCAGGAGCTCGGCAGAATTTGTTGTCTTACTCTTAGTACCTGGAGACACTGGGAAGGACGAGGTAAGTGACAGCTAAGCAGAAGGGGAGTATCTCCAGCCCAGCTGGGACAGCAGCACAGCCCCCACCAGCCCAGCAGAATGAGGAACTCACTTCCAGAGCTACCACTGCACAGGGAGCAGAAACTGGCTTTTTTTTTTTTTTTTTTTTGCTTTTTTTTCTTTTTCTTTTTTTTTTTCTCCCCATCCTCTTTGTTGCTTTTTAAATTTTTCAATAGCAACAATATAAATGCCACCAAAATGTGCTGGGGCTGTGCCAGCTATTGAAACTATAGTAAATTACTATGGGTTTTCTAGAAGAAATTTTTCCCTGGAATCTTAAAACCGTTTACTACAGCAAATACAGTACTTTTACTTCTAACCATCAATATTGATTTTGTCTTTATTATTTTCAGATTTATATTTCCCCATGTTGATTAAGATTCAGATCACACTGTGCCTTATAATGCACTGTATACAGTATTCATCTCCTTTCAAAAACTGCTATTAAGATGTATTTTTCCCCACTGGCAGATCATTTGCCATATAATATAGCCGGAGGTTGCATTTCCCTTTACTTTTTTATGCATTAATTTGGTTGCCTTCACTTTGTCTCTTGTCCCCAACCCCACAGCAGCAGCTCAGATTCAGCCTGTTTATCCCTTTACAAGGCACTGTATTTTTATTGCCTTTTATAAAAGTGGCATTATGAAAAGATGAATCTCTTTCTATTTGTGTGTTGTCTTCATAATACAAGCCCTAAACATATTTGCTTGCTCATTCGATATTTCTTGCTATTAACTGGTGAAAGCAGTGACGTTGGGAAGATCGATACAGATGGAGAAAAGCAGATGTTTTGAAGATAATACATCAACAAATGCACAAAGCAGTTTACCAAAGGATTTGAACTTACTCATTACAATGGCTGCACTGCCATTTGCATCTTTAAAGATTTTTAATTTTTTTTTATTTATTTTTTTTTTCCCCAAAGACCCAAGAAAGAGCAGAAAGCAGCTGGGAAGGGTGCCCAGGGCTGGTGCTGGGCTCTCACTGCTTCCCTATTCCAGGGACACAAATCAACCCCCAATGTCCAGCCCCACGACAGCCTCACTCACCAGGACAGGGAACCAAAATCCCGGAGGCAGCACTGATGGATAACCCTTCCCAGCAAGGGGAAAAGGGCCTTCCCATCCTCCTGGCTCCTGCTGCAGCTTGTGAGGTGTTGCCCATTCAAATAGTTGGGGTATCTCCTGAAGAAACCAACTCTAAGGCATCTCACCCTATGGGCTCAGGCTCCTCTCTCCCCATCCACCCACCCACCCCAGGGGGACAAGTCAGGGTCACCCAACAGTCACCAGGGAACAAGCTGAGGGGTCCTTAAGGACGTGGGGGGAAGCCCTTGTCCAAGTGCTGGGCAACTGAAAAAAGGAGATTTAAATCTCTGAGAAGACAGAGCAATTAAGAGCTTTGCTCCTTTGGCTTAAGAGAATCCAGATAAACCTCATCAATGCTGGAGGCCAAACTTTTTGAGGGGGGTCTGTGCCCTTGTGTGCATCCCCACATCCCCTCCGAGGAGGTGGCTTGCACCTGAAAGAGAGCAAGGACAGGAACACGGACATGAGGGGGTTACCAGGCAGCTGACACTCTCCCTAAAATTTGGGTGACTGTCCCCTGACACCAAGGCTCACAACGGGGGGAGCAGCAGGAGAAGACAGCGGTGGCTGGAGGGTGCCTCGCTGTTCAGGCTCTGCTACATGTTCTGTGTTTATTTGACTTGTAATCCTGGTTTTAATCCTCCTGACTCTGGTGCTGGAGCTATTACCCTAAGCCTGGATAAACAGCCTTGCCTCGGTTTGAGCTCATGGTCCGTGCAGTGGTGGGAGGCAGGAGAAGAGCCGAGCCCCCCCCTGGTGCTGTGGTGGGGAGCGTGGAAAGGCTCAGAGCCCTGGGGAGCAGAGCAAAGCCCAAAGCCCTGGTTGCTCTCCGCTTGGTAGAAATCTCTAGCAACATTAAGGGGAAAAAAAGAGTTCTGGGGCTGAGGGATGGGTCCCACTGCTTCACTACCCCCAGCGCAGGCAATGCCAGGTCATTCAGCTCCTCGGTGCCATTC